TTCAGCTCCAAGGCACCACGCAGTTTGGCCAAAGAGCAGAGTTGTTCCTTCCGGCGCCCACTTGGAGGGGGCCGAGGCCGCAAAATGATTTTCATTTCAACACCCTCAGTTTTGAATTGCTAAATTTCCTGAAAAATTCTCCTTTTTTGGCTGAAATGCCTCCTGCGTTGGGTTTGTGCCCAAGAAGCATTGCCTGAAGGGGGGCGGAAATCGGCTCGCGATGGCTGGTGTTCCAGAAGCTTCTGTCCGCTCTCAGGCTCTTGATCACACAGGTTTTCAGCGCTAAGCCCTTGTTATTTCAGTTTAAGGTTTCTTCCAGCTCAAGGGGGTGGGGAGCCGGGGGTGGAGAGACGTTCACTGGCACCAGACATTCTCATCCATCTTCACCTTTTCTTGGAGGAAAGGGGTGAGGAGTGAAGACTGAAGCGGGTCCAGGAGAAGAGGCCAGCTCGCCCGGGGCCGCTCCGTGTTCCCTGCCATTGCCTACCCCACCCCCAGATGTGTCCCACGTTTGCAGTACTTCCCAAAGGGGAAACGTACTGGCCCTCCCTCCAAACCAGGGCCTCTCTCTCTCTCAGCACTATGGACACGGTGAACCAGAGAATTCCCTGACGCGGGGCCTTCCTTGTGCATCGAAGTGTGCTGAGCAGAATCCCCAGCCTCTGCCTCGATCCTAGGAGCGCCCCCTCTCCCAGGCCACCAGAAACGTCTCCAGACATTGCCAGATGTCCCCTGGAGGCTACATTGCCCTCTGCTGAGAACCACTGGTCCAAACCAAGTAAGGTCATCTTTTTCCGGGCATCCTGCCTGATTCCTGCCTGACAACCCCCCACCCTACCCCCCGATGCAATTACTTACCAGGCTCATGGAACAATTTAGCCTCCGATCGAATCAGCCGGTTGCTCAAGAGTCAATAAACCCTGCTAACCTGGGAGCTCATTCAAAAGCCAGGATTGAGTGGTATCCGTGGCTGGGCCTGGAATGTTCTAGATGCTCAGCTGAACAACTTCTCAGCATCGTGTGAAGAACATAGCACGTATAAAGGGAATGTGTAACTGAGGAAGCAAAAATACAAGGTGTGGCCCCAAATCCAAAAGGTTCACAATGCATCCTGTTGGCCCAACTGTGGGCAAAACTGACCTTCCTATCCACCGCTGCTGGGAAGCGTTATGGGGGATTTGGCCACATCTAGCATTTTACTCACTGGCCAAGCAATCCCACTTCTAGGAATCTGTCCCAAATATTCACTGGCAAAAGTAGAAAATCATGTTTGCACGAGGTTATTAATTGTGGCATTCTTTAATTGCAAAAGGTTGGAAACACACTACGTGCCCATCCACAGGGCTCTGGTTTTAGTTGACTAAACCACGGTACATTCGCACAACCGAGTGGTACAGAGCTGTGAGAAGGTACATGCAGGACTTCTCTGCACTGGATGGAGGAATCCCTGGGATGTATTGCTCAGTGGGAAAAAAGGGAGATACACAACAGTACATGGTCTGCTATCTTTCAATAGAAGAGGGGGAGAAAATATTATACTTGAAAAAAATATTTGCAAAAAGCAATGCTGGGGACTTCCCTCATGGTTCAGTGAGTAAGACTCCACACTCCCAATGCTGGGGGCCTGGGTTCGATCCCTGCTCTGGGAACTAGACCCCGCATGCATGCCACAGCTAAGAGTCCACATGCTGCAACCTAGAAGTCCACATGCCATAACCAAAGATCCCGCATGCAGCAGCTAAGACCCGGCACAGCCAATATAAATAATAAATAAATAAATAAATAATATATTTTTCTAAAAAGCAATGCTGGAAGGATAGAGCAAAGGCTAATTTAAAAATTGTTCTGATATGCGGAGGGAGAGAACAAGAGGGAAAATATAATATGGAAATTAATGCAAATAAAGAGGGCTGGGTTTGTTGGGCCAGGTGGAGTGATCTCTGGAGCAAATTAAATAGGAAGAGGCAAGCTTCAGTTTGGGGACTTCCCTGGTGGTCCAGTGGGTAAGAATGCAAGCTCCCAATGCAGGGGGCCTGGGTTCAATCCCTGGTCGGGGAACTAGATCCCGCACGCACGCAGCAACTAAGACCTGGTGCAGCCTAAATAAATAAATAAATATTTTTAAAAAAAATAGAGAGAGAGAGAGACAAGTTGCAGCACCAATGTGTTCAGCGTGACCTCATGCTTGTAAATTTTTTTAAATACACATTTGTAACTTTGTAAATCTTGGGGAGCAGAGTCGGGAGAAGGGAGTAGTTTGTTTTACTTTTTGCTTGAATCTGTTACTGTGACAAGCAGTGACATTATTTGGTTATTAAAATATACTTTTTTTTTCCTTACATGAAATCTCCAGATTTTTAAAAAATTAAATTTAATATTTATTTATGTTTCTCTCTTACTTTTGAATTTTGAGGTAAAGTGTGCATACAATAGCGTAGAAATCTTAAGTGGACCCTTCACTGAGGGTTTTTTTCTTCTTCATTTTTTTTGTTTTCTTTTTTTTTATACAGCGGGTTCTTATTAGTTATCTATTTTATACATATTAGTGTATATATGTCAATCCCAATTTCCCAATTCATCCCGCCACCCCCCGCCCCACTTTCCCCCCTTGGTGTCCATACGTTTGTTCTCTACATCTGTGTCTCTATTTCTGCCTTGCAAACCAGTTCATCTGTACCATTTTTCTAGGTTCCACATATATGTGTTAATATACAATACTTGTTTTTCTCTTTCTGACTTACTTTACTCTGTATGACAGTCTCTAGGTCCATCCACATCTCTACAAGTGACCCAATTTAGTTCCTTTTTATGGCCGAGTAGTATTCCATTGTATATATGTATCACATCTTTTTTATCCATTCGTCTGTCAGTGGACATTTAGGTTGCTTCCATCACCTGGATATTGTAAATAGTGCTGCAATGAACATTGGGGTGCGTGTGTCTTTCTGAATTACGGTTTTCTCTGGGTATAGGCCCAGTAGTGGGATTGCTGGGTCATATGGTAATTTTATTTTTAGTTTTTTAAGGAACCTCCATACTGTTCTCCATAGTGGCTGTATCAATTTACATTCCCACCAACAGTGCAAGAGGGTTCCCTTTTCTCCACACCCTCTCCAGCATTTGTTGTTTGTAGATGTTCTGATGATGCCCATTCTAACTGGTGTGGGGTGACACCTCATTGTAGTTTTGATTTGCATTTCTCTAATGATTAGGGATGTTGAGCAGCTTTTCATGTGCCTCTTGGTCATCTGTATGTCTTCTTTGGAGAGATGCCTATTTAGGTTTTCTGCCCATTTTTTGAGCTGCATGAGCTGTTTATATATTTTGGAGATTAATCCTTTGTCCGTTGATTCGTTTGCAAATATTTTCTCCCATTTGGAAACAACAAACAAGTCTTTTCGTCTTGTTTGTAGTTTCCTTTGCTTTGCAAAAGCTTTTAAGTTTCATTAGGTCCCATTTGTTTATTTTTGTTTTTATTTCCATTACTCTGGGAGGTGGATCAAAAAAGATCTTGCTGTGATTTATGTCAAAGAGTGTTCTTCCTATGTTTTCCTCTAAGAGTTTTATAGTGTCTGGTCTTACATTTAGGTCTTTAATCCATTTTGAGTTTATTTTTGTGTGTGGTGTTAGGGAGTGTTCTAATTTCATTCTTTTACACGTAGCTGTCTAGTTTTCCCAGCACCACTTATTGAAGAGACTGTCTTGTCTTCATTGTATATCCTTGCCTCCTTTGTCATAGATTAGTTGACCATAGGTGCGTGGGTTTACCTCTGGGCTTTCTATCCTGTTCCATTGATCTATATTTCTGTTTTTGTGTCAGTACCATATTGTCTTGATTATTGTAGCTTTGTATTGTAATCTGAAGTCAGGGAGTCTGATTCCTCCAGCTCCGTTTTTTTCCCTCAAGACTGCTTTGGCTATTCGGGGTCTATTGTGTCTCCGTACAAATTTTAAGGATCCAGATTTTTTAATGTTTGATTAAATATTCTTTTTTTTTTGAAGTATAGTTGATTTACAATGTTGTGCTAATTTCTGGTGCACAGCAAAGTGATTCAGTTAAATATATATATATATTTTTCCATTATTGTTTATTACAAGATATTGAATATAGTTCCCTGTGCTATATAGTAAGACCTTGCTATTTATCCATAAAATATACATTTTTTATTAAGGTACACCAGACCCTGAACTGGACAGGGTTGGTCCTAAGTGCTGGGTGAGTGCAGTGGAGGAGAGGGGATTCCATGTGGACTCAGGTGGTCAGGGAGGGCTCCTTGGAGGAGTGAACAATGAGCTAGACCCTGCAGGAGGAAGGGTCAGCAGTTCAGCCCTTGGGTAAAATTGAAATGTGGAAATAAATAGTAGCTGAACATCCCCCCTCCCTTCTCCCTCTGTAAATGGGGCATGAAGAGCACCTGTCTATAGGATTCCTGTGAGCATCCATTGACCTGTGGGTGCCTGCAGTGGACCCTTGGAACTGTGACTCTCACTGCTCATTTTTAATATATTAATATAATTCAACAACAAATACCCATGGAGGGTTTACCATGCCCCAGAGCCTGAGCTAGGAGCCGAGGACACGTAGATATCTCCAGCGGCCCCCCCCCCCACACACCAGGTCAGTTGTCCCTCATGGCGTGGGTGCTTGTCCCCGGGCTCCACAGGATGGGGACCTGGCTGCTTTTGTTCACCATTATGTCCCCAGGGCCCTAACCCTGTGCCTGCCACCCAGTAGGTACTCAGTAAATGTGTTGCAGAATGGTTGGATGGATGGATGGATGGATGGGTGAAGGAATGGATGAAGGAGTGAATTAAAGGGAGCTGCTCCTGTTCTCGGGCTGCACCATCCATCAGCAGAGGGAGACACAGGTAAAAGGTTCAGAGCACATCGCTGAGCTGGTGCCTGAGTCGTGATCATCTCGGCAGCTCCGGGCTGGGGGCCCTGCGGGCACTCACTGCGCGCTGTCCGCCGCCCCGCTGACCCTCGGGCCCCTCCGCAGGTGAGTGTCCCAGCCCCGGGCGCGGAGGCGCCGCCAAGCGGAAGAAGAAGCAGCGGCGGAACCGCACCACGTTCAACAGCAGCCAGCTGCAGGCGCTGGAGCGCGTGTTCGAGCGCACGCACTACCCCGACGCCTTCGTGCGGGAGGAGCTAGCCCGGCGCGTCAACCTCAGCGAGGCGCGTGTCCAGGTGAGTGCTGCCCATCCGTGGGCCCCCCGGGGGAGAGTGCAGCCACCACTCACCCAGGGTTAAGGAGTTGCCAAGGTGAGGTGTTTCAGAGCAGGACCATCTGAGGCCAGGAGGGCTGAGGTTCAAATCCAAGCCCTGCCACTGACCAGCTGTGTGACTTTGAGCAAGTTACTCAGCCTCTCTGTGCCTTAGGTACCTCCCTGTAAAATGAGGATCACGTGGGTCTGTTTTATAGGGTTCTTACGAGAATGAAAGAAGTTGATATCTTTGTAGCTTAGAGCAGTGCCTGGCACATGGGATTTGGATAAATAAAAGTCGTTTTAAAGTGTTCAGTGCTGGGCTTCCCTGGTGGCACAGTGGTTGAGAGTCCGCCTGCCGATGCAGGGGACACGGGTTCGTGCCCCGGTCCGGGAAAATCCCACATGCCGCGGAGCAGCTGGGCCCGTGAGCCATGGCCACTGAGCCTGCGCGTCCGGAGCCTGTGCTCCGCAACGGGAAAGGCCACAACACTGAGAGGCCCGAGTACGACAAAAAAAAAAAAAAAAAAGTGTTCAGTGCTTGTTCCGTGCCAGTCCTGAGCTGAGTGCCCAGCATGCACCTCTCGCATTACAACCTCACAGCAGCTAAATGCTCATCTATTCATTCTTTCATTCATCCACTTGCACATTCTCCAACACATACTTACCCAGCGGCAGGCACCATTTATCACCCCCATTTTACAGATGAGAAAATTGAGGCTCAGAGAGGTGAAGCTGCCAGTGCAGGGTGGGTGGCAGAACAGGCACATACTAGGTGCAAAAGGACTTGGGTCCCCTCAGCAGCCCGCTCACCCCTCCTTCCTGCCCCCAGGTCTGGTTTCAGAACCGCCGGGCCAAGTTCCGCCGAAACGAGCGGGCCATGCTGGCCAACCGCTCAGCCTCGCTGCTCAAGTCCTACAGCCAGGAAGCCGCCATCGAGCAGCCTGTGGCTCCCCGGCCCACTGCCCTGAGCCCCGATTATCTCTCCTGGACGGCTTCATCCCCCTACAGGTGAGAGCGGGAACCCTTTTGGGTCGGGAGGGCGCGAGCAACCAGGGGACCCCGTGGGGTGTTTTAGGGGCCCAGACTCCTTTGAGGATCTGAAGAGAGCTGGGAAAGTTGCCCAGGTGCCCCGTGGACCTGGGGGGCACCAAGGGGTATGTGGGCAAGCGTGTGAGCGTGTGGAGGGGCGAGAAAATGAGGCCTGTTTGGAAGAAGTGGAGAACCCACATCATCCTGAGGGAGCTGAAAACCTGCAGATTCCTAGGCTGGCACAAGCGCCCCAGCACCCTTCGTCAACCATCCCGGAGAGAGGCCGGGGGGCCGAGGGAGTGGTTCCCTGTCCCAGGGGCCTGGCTGGGCCCCAGAGTCAAAGTCTGGGGCAGTTTTGTCCCGGTCAAAGCTGGGGAAAGGTGGCAGGGCAGGAAGGGAGAGGAAGGAGGTGCTGGCAAGTTGGGTTTCTGCACCCCACAACTCCAGGGAGTACCATCCACCCCTGAGTCTGTGCGAGCAGCTCTGCTAGAGCCATGGTCTCATGAGAGGCAAGAGCCGGTGGGTCGTGGGATCTGAGTCCTAGTGATGCCCACGCTAGCCTCACAGCTCTCCCAGCTCCCCCCCTGCCATGCTCTTACCTGGGGCGGGAGAACCTCCAAGAGGCCTCCTTCCATAGAGGTGTGCGTTCATCCCAGCCTCATCCTGCTGTGTGCCAGGCCTAGGGCAGGCGCTAGGGGTGAACAGGAGCTTCCGCTCTCAGGAAGCTCCTGGTCCAGCGAGGAAGGACCACAAGCCTACGGGGGCGGCTCCATGTCCTAGGGCTGACTGTGGGCACTTCTGCCTCTTCCCCCCAGTCTTGTAGCCCCAGGGGAAGGCTTCCCAGCCGAGTGAGCTGAGGAGGGGAGGCAGGAGGACCAGAGGCTGGGGTCCAAGACTGGCCGCCAGAGGTGGCCAGCCCCCGGCGGTCTTCCAGCCACAGCAATATGTCCTTGTGTCTTATGTCACCCCCAGCACGGTGCCGCCATACAGCCCAGGAGGCTCAGGCCCTGCGACCCCGGGGGTCAACATGGCCAACAGCATCGCCAGCCTCCGTCTCAAGGCCAAGGAGTTCAGCCTGCATCATAGCCAGGTGCCCACGGTGAACTGACAGCCAGCCCCGCCAGGACCCCGCTGCCTCCCTGGCTGCCTCCCCGCTGCCTCCCTGGGCAGGCTGGGTGGGCTCTCCTGGCCCCTCTCTTCAGCCCGGACTTCTGAGCCCAAGAGGCTGCTGAGATGCCCAGAGCCTGGCTCAGCCCTTCATCCACGGCCGCTGGAGACTGCGGCCCCTGACCCTGGAGGTGTTGGGCTGGAAGGTTGGAGCAGCGGCTCACCAAGGACCTCACTTACTTTGTGTATTAAAGCCAAAAAGCTGTTGTCTTTAAGAAATAAAAAAAAAAATTTTAAGCCCCAAAAGACTGCGGGAGGGCGGACAAGGGCAGCAAACCAATGAAGGGACGGCCTTTTGGGGCCAGCTGCCCTCGTCTGTGTGCCTCTTTCTGCAGGAAGTCCTCCATCACCCTGTAGAGCCCCAGGGGTGGGGAGCCGGGTAGGAAGACAGAGACCTGCCCTGGAACCCCTGACACCCGGGTGTTTGGGAGAAACCCCGATGTGTGACCCTGGCCAGGACCCGAACCGTCTCTGTGCAGGGAGTGTCTCCCCTGCCCGATGGCAGGAGCAGAGGGTGTGTGGAGGCAGACGCTAGAATTAAATCCCTTGCTGCTGGGCATGCAGAAGCTGGGGGTCCCCTGGGCATTTGACTGTGGGGGACCCGGGCAGATGGCCCAGAATGTCGGGGTGCAGAGTGGAGGACCCAGGTGGGCTCACAGGACAGGCGGGTGGTCCTAACAGACAGGGCCACCAGAGACCTTCTTCCAAGTCCTCCAACCTACCGTTTCAGAGATGGTCACTGGGGGTGACAGAGGACACATGTGCCACCAGCACTGACATCACTTATGAGGAGTGTGCAGAAAACTGGGGGGTGAGGGGAATGGTCTGAAGCCAGCCCTCTCCACCTGGCCCCGTGCCATGCCTGCTGATGGGCGCACCCTCCAGGGAAGTTAAGAGATAATTTCTGGGAATTCCCTGGTGATCCATCCGGTGGTTAGGACTCGCTGCTTTCACTGCCAGGGCCCGGATTCCATCCCTGGTTGGGGAACTAATATCCCAAAAGCCATGCGGCCGGAAAAAATAAAATATAATAAAGCGATCATTTCTGCAACCAGCCCCCAGGAAGTAAGACAACACTTCCTGACCCCCAGAGGGCACAAAGATGCTAGGCCCCTCCGGCGGGGTGGCCCTCACAGTGACACAGCCATCACACCTCTGGACTCCATGGATGGACCCCGTTTCTCTAGTCTGCCCCCCCCCCCCCACATCAAAGCCCCCCCAAAGGGCCAGTGTCCCCCCCCACCAGCCACAGGCTGCATCTTCTAGGTGACCTTGAATAGGTCAAAGCCATGTGACAATCCTAACGCGAGGGATGGTCCCCATTTTTGTTTTAGAAGGTGTAACTAACCCCTGAGTGAGGTGAGGACCCTCCCCATCTCCCCCAATTTACCCCCAGAGATTCTTCCCCATCCTCCATCGGGAATTCCACCATGAAAACACAGTTCTGGGCTTCCCTGGTGGTGCAGTGGTTAAGAATCCACCCGCCAATGCAGGGGACACGGGTTTGAGCCCTGGTCCAGGAAGATCCCACATGCCGCGGAGCAACTAAGCCCGTGTGCCACAACCACTGAGCATGTGCTCTAGAGCCCGCGAGCCACAACTACTGAGCCCGTGTGCTGCAACTTCTGAAGCCCGCGCACCTAGAGCCCGCGCCCCGCAACAAGAGAAGCCACCGCAATGAGAAGCCCACGCACCGCAACGAAGAGTAGCCCCGGCTCGCCGCAACTAGAGAAAGCCCGCGTGCAGCAACGAAGACCCAATGCAGCCAATAAACAAATAAATAAGAAAACAAAACAAACAAGAAAACACGGTTCTTGTGGGGTGAGCTTTGTCCCCTTCAGATGGGCCAACAGGCCCTGGGGACCATCGCCATGTGACTTCCCTGTGGCTGGGCAGTTGGGACTCTGGTCCTTGGGGTGGGGGGGAATGATGAGGTGAGGCACAGGCTCCAGCTGAAGGCGTGGGGAGGGGGCATTCTGCTGATATGTGGAGCTGGCTCTGCCGGCCTGACTACGGCGGCCAGAGCAAAGGGTTGGCCTGTGCCCTGTACTGTGTGTGTGTATGGCGGGGGAAGGGGGAAGGTGGGTACAGCCAGAGCTGTGTTTTCTTGCTCAGTTTGGCCTCTGCCTTGGGTAAGTGATTTCTGGGCTTCTATTTGCCATTCATTCACTGAACAAATATTATGAAATACTATATGTGTGCAGGGCCCTACACTGGGCCCTGAGGAGAAAGCAGAGAATTGACATGGGGTCCCTGGCTTCAGAGGCCACACCAAGCCCAAGGAGCCCCAAACCTAGTCTAAGGCATCCAGGCAGGCTTCCTGGAGGAAGTGTCCTGGAAGGATGAAGAGTCCACCAGACAAAGAGGGGAGCGAGAACAGTGTTTCTGGCTAAGGGAACAGCATGTGTAAAGGCCCTGGGGTAGGCCAGAAGCTGCCTCTTTGGGCCAGTGGGGACAGTTCTGGGCCTGGATCTCCTGCAGGATGAAGATGGAGAGAAGCAGGGACAGCTCACGTGGGGCTTGTGTGGCCAGATCTAAAGTCTGGATGTCAGGACTTCCCTGGCGGTCCAGTGGTTGGGACTCTGTGCTTCCACTGCAGGGGACATGGGTTCTATCCCTGGTCGGGGAACTAAGATTCCACATGCTGCATGGCACAGCCAAAAAAATTGTTTTTTAAATTAAAAAATAAAGTTTGGATGTCACCCTGGCAGTGAGGAGCCATGGAGGGGATTTGCTTGGTGGAGGGACCCGCCCCTTGGACCCTGTTGGAAGCAGAGAGACCCCTGCAGAGGCTGGGCTGGATGTCCAGGCAGGAGAAGTGGCAGCCTAGACCAGATGGGGACAGAGTGGGCAATCTGGGAGGTGTCCCAGACACAGCAGGGACAGGGGTTGATGACTAGGTGTTGGGCTGGGGAACAAGGGGTTGCCCAGGGGGCCAGGACTTGGCTTAAGCACGTGGATGCCTGGGAGGAAGAGACCCTGGCAATAGGACCCACCTGGTAGAGGGGTTGGGAAGATGCTGGCCTGCCCTTCCACCCAGACAAGCACTGGGGCCGTCCTGGTCTGAGCAGGGTCCTCCCTCACAAGGAGCTGACACCCACCCCAAGGATTTGCACCAGCGAAGGGCCGGCCCACAGGGCCCAGAGCTGTGCCCTCACGGGCAGCCAGGAAGAGCGGCCTTTTTGTGAGCACGTGGACGAGCCCAGCCAGGCCCTGGGCAGTGCCCCAGAACCCAGATGGAGGTGCATCTGGTCTTTCTATTTTCAGTCCAGAGGGAGGGGCCATGAAGCATCGCCAGGTTGGGGCTGCCTGCAGCAGAGATGGGGTCACACTGGCCGGGGGCTCCCACTAGGGCCTGGAAGGTGGGTCCCAAGAACACCAGCTTCAGAAAAAGCCATGGGCCCGCTTCCCATAGAGGCGCTGGCCCCGCCATCGGGCCACAAGGATGTCAATGTCACTTCCTCTCAAGCGCTCAAGAAAAAACAGACTGGCCTAATCATTTACACATGCTGCTCTGGGGAGCTGAGGGGGGGGGCCACAGCGGCCCTCCTTGTGAAAGAAAATATATTCCAACATTGCTGTCACGACTGTAGCCCTAATTGCAGGGCTGTGTAGGCAGCTTCCTGGGCACCCGTCCCGGGATATAATTTTCCATGAGGATAAGGTACCCGAGGCCCCGTCCCGGGCTGGGAGAACTTGGAATCCTTCTCCCTCTGATTCTCTTTCCCCTTTTGGCCAAGCAACCATGCGACAGGGCACTGAATGTATCTGCTTCTGTTTTTTTGTTTGAAATAAAGAAACTTGAGTCAAGAGAAAGAGAGAGAAATTGAAGGAAAGGCAGTCTGGCTCTTGCAAAACCCAAAACCTGAGAAATTAAGACCAGAGTTTTACCTTGGGCAAGGTACTTCTCCGGGCCTCAGTTTTCTCCTCTGTAACATGGGGTGATAACAGAAGCCACCTCACAGGGTTATTGGCAGAGTTACCCTCCATAAATGAGCGCTGTGGTGTATACGCTGGAAAAACACAGAGCGAGCGGTGGAGTTTAGGGAATTCAAAATACTCCCTGTTCTGGGGTGAAATTGCACATTCCCTCCTCAGAGAACCTGGCTCCTCCCCTTGTCCCTTCCAAGCCCACACTCCTTGGGCACCAGCTGGGGACCAAAGCTCATGCACCTCTGCTGCCTGCCACTGGAGGGCGCTGTGGGGTCCCCGCCCGGCACAGAGCTGGGAGAACAAGGGCCCTCTCCCACACAGATCGCCAGAGACGGCCGCAGGTTCCTGACCCAAAGACAAAGAAACAAGCAAATCCCAAATCACCAGCAGGGGTCACAGCATAAAAATCAGCACAAGCCTTTTGGGAAATGTACCAACAGCCACGAAAACGTTGCATGCTTTCACGCAGTAATTCTACCTCTAAGCCACACTTCAAAAAATAATCCACAGTGGGGTGGGGGGTGGAAGCAACGTGTGCCAAGATGGATGTTTATCATATATTTTCATAGATGCAGTGTAAAAATTCTGGGAAGACCCAAAGCAAGTTGTAAATACTTTAAATTTGATAATGGCTCACAATCCGCTTGTCTCTATGTTTTCTGTAATGAGACTAATAACCTCCTAGGGAAGCAGAACAAGCAGGCCCATGTGATCATCTCAACTACATGAGAAGCTCTTTGAAATGAAAAAAACGTGCTTTCTTCCCTTTTATGTCCCCCTTGGTGCCTCACTCAGAGCTGGACTTGTCTTTTCCATACCTCTTGGTAAGTGAGTCCCCCATCCAAAGCTCTCCTCTCTGCTCCTGTTATCCCACCATTAGTCCTTCAGGTCTTGAAGCTTTGTGGTCGTCAGGAATTCCCTTCTCTATTGCAAGTGCTGGAAAGAGCATGTTTGAGAACTTCTTAAGCTCTTAGTTCACACCTTAGAAGAAGTGGGAATGGATCAAGCTTGGGATATAAGGAGTCAGGAGTGGGCACCTTGAAACTGGAAGGTGCACTTGATAAAGTGGTGTGGATGACATAATTCTAAGATGGTCCCATGATTCCCCCCCCCCCCAGGGAGACATGCACTTTGTAATCCCCTCTCCTTGGGTAGGGGTGGAACCTCTGACTTGCTTCTAACCAATAGAATATGGTGAAGATGAAGGGATTTAGCAGATGTGATTAAGGTCCCTAATCAGTGGACTTTGACTAATCCGAAGGGAGATTATCCTTGGTGGGCCTAACTTAACCAGGTGAAACCTTTAAAAGAGAGTCCAGGTCTTCCCTGAAAGAGATCCGGAGCAGAGAGATGCATTCCCACCAGCCTTGAGAAACAAACAGCTGTGCTGTGACCTGCCTGTGGAGGAGGTGGCCCCCAGCAGCCAAGGGCCTCATTCTTACCGCCACAAGGAACCCAATCCTGCCTGCAATCTGAATGAGCTCAGAATAGGATACTGAGCTCCAGATGAGACATCAGCTGAGGACTCCTTGACTGCAGCCTGTGAGACCCTGAGCAGAGAACCCAGTTAAGCTGTGCCCAGACTCCTGACCTATAGAAACCGTAAGACCATAAATAGGTGTTGTTTTCTCTCTTTCTTTTTTTCTCTTTTGGCTGCACCGAGCAGCTTGCAGGATCTTAGTTCCCTGACCAGGAAACCAGGGATGGAACCCATGCCACCTGATGTGGAAGCACAGAGTCCTAACCACTGGACCACCAGGGAATTCCCTGGGTGTTGTTTTCCGCTGCTATGTTCGTGGCAACTTGTTACCCAGCGTAGAAAACCAATGCAGATGGAGATGGAGCTTGGAAGTCCTCTTGAGCTTGGCCTCCCTCTTGCCCACAGCACACCCAAAGAACCTCGGGACCCATGACAGAGGAGACTTGACGCCTCTGCTCAAATTTTCTGCCATCTTATCACTTTCCAGGCCATTCTGCATAAGCCAACAGATTAGTTGCCCTAAAACACAGCTTTGGGACTTCCATGGTGGCGCTGTGGCTAAGAATCTGCCTGTCAATGCAGGGGACACAGGTTCGAGCCCTGGTCTGGGAAGATCCCACATGCTGCGGAGCAACTAAGCCAGTGCGCCACAACTACTGAGCCTGCGCTCTAGAGCCCGTGAGCCACAACTACTGAGCCTGTGTGCCACAGCTACTGAAGCCCATGTGCCTAGAGCCCGTGCTCTGCAACAAGAAAAGCCACTGCAATGAGAAGCCCGCGCACCGCGACGAAGAGCGGCCCCCTCTCGCCACAACTAGAGAAAGCCCGTGCGCAGCAACGAAGGCCCAAGGCAGCCAAAAATAAAAACAAATTAAAAAACAAACAAAAAAAACACAGCCTTGATCATGTCCCTCTCCTGCCTAAAGCCTTCTGGGGCTCCCCAAGGCCCTCCCAACAAAGTACCATCACCCAGGCCAGGTGTTTGAGGTCCTAGCATCCACCCCTTAAACCCGCCTTGTCCCCTACTCCAGATTATTCAGACAATCCTGACAACTCAGTCCCCTCCTCCTACTGTCCCCCTGCAGCAACATCCTGCCCACCCAGTCCCACTCTGCCAGTGAAAATGTATTCCCCAGAGGGTTACAATGTAGTGTCAACTTTTTTAAAAAAGCAAGTTAAATTCTAGACAGAAGATGCATTGGCATGTCTGGGGAGATGTGTGTTGCTTGAAAAAGAATAATTCAACGTTGTAATTTTATATTTGGAAAATGAAAAGAAAAACCCTATTATTTTCATAATTCAAACTTTAAAAAGTGAAGCTACTCAACATGTTCTTGGCGGGCACACATACCAAGAGAAGCAACCACTGTCTCATGAGTGGCCACACGGCAGGATCCCCAGGGAGGAGAGGTAATATATAAAATATAAATATTATATATTTAATAGGCATAGATATATACATATTACGTATATTGCATATAATTTGTATGTGTATTTAATATGCATAGTTTAAAAATCTGGAAAGTCATAAACCATAGCGTGAACAGTTGTTTTCTCAGGAATGTGGGATTGTGGGTGGTCTCTATTCTTTATATACACACTTGTAAATTTCCCTACTTGGGTTCTAAAAATTGACAAAACTTTTTAGAGCTCTATCCAAATTGGAACCATCTTTTTGGAAAACAGTATATTACCACAAGTCTTAAAAACAGGCATGCCTTTTGGACCAGTGATTTTACTTCTAGTAACGTACCTGAAAGTAATAGATCTGCACTGAGATTTATGTACAAAGGTGCCCATGAAAGCATTGCTTGCGCTGATGCAGACTGGGAAATTAATTATCCAACAATAAGGGCAGATTAAATAAACGATGAGGGTACCCGGGATGATGGAGTGCCAGGGAGCTGTTAAAATTCATGGTATTGACCATCAAAAGCCCTGGGAGGAAGGGCAGATGTATTATTAGGGAAAATCTCAAGTGATGATAAAAGGGCCAGGCTGTGAGACCCTGAGCACAGATGCCACCCACATCTGTGACACACCGACGACATCTCCCCAAAGACTCGATCCATATTTTTTGTTGTGGAATTCCATCCTGGATAGAAACAGTTCGGAATCCCTATCTCTACACTATGTGTACACACACACTCATACATTTTACACATCATTCATTCACTTAATAGAAACGCCTTAGAAGCCAGGTGCTCTTCCAAGACCTGGGGACACAGGCATGGCAAGAATAACACAGACCCAAATCCCTGTCCCTCTGGAGTGCACATTCTAGAGGGAGAGATGGAGAGTGAAGAAGGTGCGGGAAGATGGCACGGTGAAGAAGGTGCGGGAAGATGGCACAGGGCCTTGCCAGCCTCGACTGGGTAGGGGGAAGCCACCGGAGGACTGGCACACAGAAGCCTCTGGCCCTGGGTGGGGAGTAGACGGTGGGGACCAAGGGTGGATGGTGGATGCAGGTATCCAGTTGGGAGCTGTTGCAATGACCTGGAGCGTGACCAGGACAACTGCATGGTGAGAATACAGGAAGCTTTTATTTTCTTCTTTGAGCTTTTCTATAGTTTCTAAACCTCTGATAGTGACCATTACTTGTGGGTACCTGTAATTAACAGTTTAAAATCTCATCCACCTTTCAGCTTCCAACTCAAAGGATGCCTCTCCAGGGAATCCTGCCTGGGTTCCCAGCCACCCGGACACACACCCCTGTTCTGTGACTGCCCAAGGCCCAGCGCACCTGGAATAAGAAGGGGTCCATCTTTCCGCCCTAGCCAGCCTGGAAGCCCATTCCTGAGGCCAATGGCCTCCCAGGGACACACACAGAAACCCCAGGAGCCCTTAATTCTGTGGGAATTAAGGGGGTCCCCAGGTTCTGTCCCCGCCTCCAGGACTAAAACCAGGCCCCTTTGTCCTCTCATCTTTGCCTGTTCCTCCAAGTCTGTCACATACCAGGGAGGCTCTTGGAAGCCTGGAGACAAGGAATCCATTAAACGAGGGAGCCCCAGTGGTTCCCCAGAGGGGCCCTCATAGGAGACTGGGGAGCCCAGGTGGACAGGGCACACCAGCCATCACCTGTCTTGGCCTTCCTCCTTAGAAGTGTGTGTACTTAGGACTTCCCTGATGGTGCAGTGGTTAAGAATCCACCTGCCAATGCAGTGGACAGGGGTTCGAGCCCTGGTCCGGGAAGATCCCACGTGCTGTGGAGCAACTAACCCCGTGCGCCACAGCTACTGAGCCTGTGCTCTAGAGCCCACGCGCCACAACTACTGAGCCCGCGTGCCACAACTACCGAAGCCCGCACACCTAGAGCCCGTGCTCCGCAAAAAGAGAAGCCACCGCAATGAGAAGCCCGCGCACCACAACAAAGAATAGCTCCCACTCGCCGCAACTAGAGAAAGCCCGCGTGTAGCAACGAAGACCCCACGCAGCCAAAAATAAAGTTTATTTAAAAAAAAAAAAAAAAGAAGTGTGTGTACCCGGGTGGGGGTGAAAGGTTCTATAGCATTAGGGCCAAACTGGCAACATTTTGAGGAGAGGGCCCCTAACTCACAGACCAGGGCCCTGACCCTGGGGTCTGTGTGATACCCCAGGCTGGCTCTGGGCTTTCCTGATCACTCAGAGCCCAGAAGAAGTTGCCCCCAGCCACCAGGCTCCAGTCAGGGGCAGCTCCGGTTTCCCAAGCCTGGGCTGGGCCTCAAAGTCCTTGCCTGCCCCCAGGGCTGTGGTTCCGGAGCCCCCAGGCTGCTGCTCAGCACTGCCCTGCCCCCCAGCACTACCCACACTTCGCACCACCCACAGCCCAGGGTCAGGAGGAGGCAGCCCAAGAGGGCGCCCCGCATCTGGATGGGGTGCGATCGAGGCGAAGTCAGAGGAACTCACCGGCGCCCAGGATGGCCTGGGGCGGGGTGTGGGTGGGGCTTCTGGCCAGGCCAGCCCACCCGCATCGTCTCACCTGCTGTGCTCACTTTGCCGCTGCCCAAGAAAGGGGCGCTGTGGCTCAGCCCCAGGGGCAGCTGCTCCGGGAAGCCGCCCCCAGCCCTTCCCCATCCTGGAGGGTTCCGGGTCTACCCTGGAAACATCGCCCGGCTCCTGCCAGCTGCCCCTCCCTGCCGTCAGGCTGCGCCTGCGTCTTCCCGGCCCCTCCAGAAACTGGAGGGACAGCTGGGCACTGTCTGCGTCAGTTTGGGAACAAGAGCCAGTGCCCAGCTGTCAACCTCACCATGCTGCCTTCCATGTGGCTTCTCGGAAGTCCTCTTGGGACACAGACCCACGTCACTAACCCCTCGCCCACTTCTCCTCACCCTGGCTCTGAACCCACCCCACAAGGCCCCAAGGCCTTGAATGAGCCCCTTTCCGCCCCCCCCCCCCCCCCCCCCGCCCCCCGCCACTTCCCAGGCACAAGACCCCAGGGGGCTGAGCTCTGCTCATCTTTCCTCAGCTGGATTGGACACGCCCCCAAAGCCGCTCTGACTTACGCCCATGGCAGGCGAGCTGTCACGTCCCCTAGGAAGCCCCTCCCCAGCAGGGGTTAGAGGCCCTCCCTGTGCTCCCACTGCCCACCCCCCCTTAGGGCACTGAGTACTTGGAGTTGTCACTGTCTGATGTCCTGCCGTCCCCCGACCCTGTTTGCGGCTCAGCATCTGAGGGGTCCCGGGGGCCGGGGCAGGGAGTGAATGATGGGCCAGTGCACAAGGGGCTGCTGTCTCTGCAGTTCCGAGGAGCTGCCCCCTCCCTCGGTCCCAGGGTCACATGGTCCCTGTGGGTATCGGATGCCCTCCTCACCCGGGTCTGAGCTGGGCACTTTGCCCTCTCAGTCCCTCCTTCCCTGGTCCGGGAAGAGCCCACGGTCCGGGAAGGGAAAGTATTAAAACGCAAGCACACATCCTGGGTCTACTCCTCTTTTATCGCATCCCAGCTCAGGGATGTTGGGCAAGTTACAGCTCCTTCCTGAGCCTTACTTTCCTCATCAAAAAGCAGAAATACCTCCTTCCTGGGGTGGAGGATCAAGTGGAAAAAAAATTGTGAACACCGTGCTCAGCCAATGCTTAGCAAACAGCAGACACTGAACACAGGGACATGCGCTTTCTGTTTCCAGATGTGCAGCTGCCGCCCCAGAACAGAGGCTCATCTCACCACCAGGAAGCAATGCTACCCATCCCACCTCCTAGCACAGCCGGGCAGGGGGGCCGACTCGGATTTCTAGTGAGGCCTGGGGAACCCTGGGTCCCCAGTGAGGCCCCCACTAGGCAGACCCATCAGTCCGCGGGGGCAGAAGCTCGGGGGCTGCAGGGCTGTGAGAGGAGGCCATGCCCAGGTGCGAGGGGGGCTTCCCTAGATCCTGGAGGAAAGGGGCAGCGCTGGGGAGGGGGTCTGGGGAAAGGCAGGACCGCACAATGGTTAGAGCAGTTTGGGGGAGCCAGACAGGCGGGGTTCAGAGCTGATCCCACACTGCAGGGAGTCCACCTTGAGCCTCGGTTTCCTCATGTGTAAAAATGGGCTTGACTGACCATCTTACTGGCCCACGGCAGGAGGCGGGAGGGTGTCTCCCAGCAGCCTGCTTGCTTTCTGCATGATTCAGCACCCTCGTCTGGGTGGCTTTGTGTGTTTGCCAGAGACTGTGTCTTGTCAGTTTCGCCCCAGACACAGACCCGCAAGAGTGTCGGGCGAGCCGGATCCCCAGCCAGCCTGGGCGGTGGTGGATGCCAGGAACCAGCCGCCAGGGGGCCAAGCTGGTCAGACACTTCATTAATGACTAAAGCCACATGCTCTTAACAGCAAGAGTCCAGGAGAGACACATGATTCCCGGCAGGGATGCACATTAGCGGTTTTCAAGCCTCGCAAATACCGAAGGAGTCAAAATTTCCTTTTAGCGGTTGGTCCTTCAAAGCCCGTTGTCCTTGAATGACAGCCCTTCGGAGCAACTAAAGCCTCGGGAAGAGAAGGCCGACCCTACTGTGGGCCCTTCCCATCGGCACCTGTGCCAAAGACAGAAGGATGCAGCAAAGGAATGCGGCACAGGGAAGCGTCAACAGGGCACAAAGGAGCACAACCCTTCTCCCACCGGGGGAGAAACTCCCAGCCTGCCGGTCCTGGGCCCTCCCCTAGAGGGAACTGGCAGTGGGCCCCAGGACCGGCCATTGCTGGGCTCACAGGAACTTTCTAAAAATGCAGATGCTCAGATGCTCAGGCTCCCCTCTAGAGCAGCTAAATCAGCATCTCTGGGGTGCAGGTGAGAAGTCCTTATTTATTACAGCCCTGGATTCAGAGGGTCGTTAGGTTCAGAAACCTGAACTGAGTCTCTGCTCACCCTTCCCAGACTTGGGGAGGAAGAGGGAGGGATACTTTTCATGCTCTGTTCTTTAAGTGGAAGGATTTTCTATCAGTCGTGACAACCAGTCTCTAAACAGTTCCAATCGGTGGCTTCACCCAGGAATCCAGCTGGTTGCCAGGATACCAGGTCCCGGGGCCTATCACAATCTCAGAGGGGCACCTGGTCTCCCGGTGGCTCGTGGCCAGGGGTCTGGCGGCCGAGGAAGTGTCAGCGGCTGGTCACAGGTGGCGAGCTGCTTCCCAGACGATCTGCAGGGCCATGGAGGCGCAGGGAAGCTGGGCCAGGGTGTAGGCCAGAGAGCGGGTGGGCGCCCGCAGCTTCCCCAGGTAGGCCACGGTGTGCACCATGCGGCCCAGGAAGACGACCAGGAAGTGCACCCAGGCAACGAAGGGGTCAGGCCCCAAGAAGGAGTAGACGAAGCCCAGGAACAGGAAGGGGTAGATGGTCTCCATGTCATTCCGGTGGGCTCTGGGAAGGCAAGGGGGTGCAGTCAGCCAGGAGTCGGCTTTGAGAATGTCCTGGAAGCTGAGACCCTCTGCCCCGAAAGGCCCCACACCCCTGGGGACCATCTCGGGGGTGCCAGACTCACGTCCGTCATGGCCAAGACAAGGAGATACCCCAGAGGCAGGGGCGACGGTGACTCCAAGCTTGTGCCGGTGAGCAGCTCAGAAAGTGAACCCTGTTAGCAGACCGGGAGCCACGAAGGGCTGCTGGTTGGTTTTCTTACCAACCCCAGGGCTCGCCAAGACGCAGCCCCTGCCATGGTCTCCCCTATCTTCCCCTCTGGCCTTGGACACCAGGCAGGAACAGTGGGGCTCAGTGGGGTTGAGTGAAAGCTGGGGTGGAGCCTAGGTCTGCCTCCAGCCCCTGCTCTTTTATTTATTTTTTTTAAATTTTGGCCACGCCGCGCAGCTTGCAGGATCTCAGTTCCCTGACCAGGAATTGAACCCGGGCCACAGTAGTGAAAGCACCAAGTCTTAACCACTAGACCGCCAGGAAGCTCCCCAGCCCGTGCTCTTTACCACCAAGGCAGGGCTTTTCTGAGGCCGTCCTCCTTCCAAATGCAGTTTCCTGGGCCCTCCCCAGCGGGATGGGCTGAGAACATGCATCTGAAATCCACGCCTGGCTCTGTCTTCTTCTGCCCCTAAATCTAAGCAAACCCTTCCTCTTCTCAGGGATAATAAGGACAACTTGCACTCACTGGAGCCAGCCAATCGCCGGACAGCGGCGAAGCTCTGTTTCATCCGCCCTATCCTGTTTCTTCCTTTGTTTAAAATATCAAGTGTGTGAGTATATGTGGTGGGGGGGAGGGGCGGCTGTGTATAACCCTGCCATAAAAAAATGACCGACAAAGAAAACTCATCCACTTCTGCTCAGAGTTGGTTCACATCTTCCATGATTCCTACTAATGGGCAGCTTCCTCTGTGGAGGGTGGGGAGGTCAAGTCCCATAAATTAGACACTGAGCAAATGACCAAAGCCAGAGATGGCATGTTGGAAGCGCAAATAAACAGGAACGCGGTGCCTGGGCTGTGACCTCCCCCAAGGACAGGCCACGTGTGTGAGGCACGGGCACGCTTCTAGAACTGAAGCCCCTTCTCCAAGCCTTCCAGCTGGAGTGCATTTCACCAACGCTGCACTAACGGGCCAAGCCCAGCCCAGCAGCCCCTGTGTGGGGACCTGCCGCGGAGTCCTCCTCTTCCCTGCCACTTGCAAGGACCTCAGGCAAGGGCCAGGGTATGTGGACGCTAGGAATTGGGCAGGGCAGAGGGGAGAAGCACTCAGCAACCCAGGGCTGAGAGGGGTCTCTGTGGCATGACTAGGGTGGGTGTAGTCAGGGAAGGAGACGTTGTACTGAAGCCTGAATGATGAGGGGCCATCTGTGCAGGGGAAGAACTCTCCAGGGAGAAGCATGGGCATGTGCAAAGGCCCTGAGGTGGGAATGAGCATTGCGTGTTCAAGGCTCAGAAAAGTGACCCAAGTGGCTGAAGTGTGGCACGTAAGAGGGAGGGAGACAGGATAAGAGGGGGAGAGGGGGCTCATGAAGCAGGGTAAGGGGTCTGGAATTCAATCTGAGTGTACAAAAGCTCCCATAAACCCAGCAGGGCCTGGATCTTAGGTCAAACTCAGGACACAGCAGTTGGTGTCTCTGTCCCCGTATCCTGGAGCCAACATGAGTCTTCCTTCTCCTTTATTCCCAAAGCTTGACCTTGGGACACAGCCCCAGGGAAAGCAAGTCTACAGCAGGGCAGGTCTCACCAGCTGGGGGAAATACTGCTGGATGCCCATGTGAGAGAAGCAGGCCGTGGCCGGATCTTGGCTACAGCGATGAAGAGGGGGAAGCTGAGGACTGGGGCCATTTCAATTCCTCGATCGAGCAAGTCCCTTACCTTACTGGGGAAGAGGCAGCAACTGTTGCTCTAAAATCATGCTATTTATCCCCATGCTATGGAGATACATCTGTGTACACCAACATCCCCTAACATGCTATGAGACAGACACCTTGGAAAACCTATTTTACGTTAAGTCAGGGTGTCCTAGAAGGTGGTCTTCCTCCCACAGGTTGACTCGTGAGATGGTACCAGCTGGGAGTATTTTTGTCATGTTGTATATTTCTCGGCAAGTTTCAGGAAAAGCGTAACTAGGGCCTGAAACCCATTCAATGAGACACTTCTCCTTAAAGTATGTATTTATATTCTAAGAGTGAGTCACTTTTTAGAAAGCTGTTAAGAGGATCGTCGGCCAAACCCCACAGCACAGGTGAGGGAAAGAAGTCGGGGGACACCAGGCAGAGAAGAGGAATAAATATGGGAGGGGCAGCCCTCCCTCCAGGCTCCAGCAACTGGGACTAGAGGATTCAGAGGTCACCCTTGAGGGAGGAGAGGTGGCTGGGAGCTGAGAAAGCCCCTCAGCCCCTGGGGTGCCCAGTCCCCACGGAAACTGCCACGGGGCCCCCACGAAGCCACAAGTGGTGCCGAGGACAGGCGTGATGCCAAGAAAACTCACTCCTCTCCTCCCCGCCACCCCTACCCCAGCATCCGAATTGAGAGACATGGAGGGAGTCACGTACCAGAGAGATGCTTGGGCAAAATGTGTCATTCCACTAATGACCAGTTTTTTAAGGTAAAAACCACTCAGAGCAAATTCCCGCTAGACTGGACTTGCATGACTCCCTGCAGCATCAGGCCTGCCTCTCCCGTGAACAGACACTGCAACACCGGCTGCCTTTTATTGCATCAGATGACAGGACTGCGGAGAGAGCCCTACAGTTCCCCCCAGGCCTCCTGGGCAGGGACAGCTGCTGGCAGCCCCGCTAGCTCTCTCCTCTTCCCTCCCCAGGCTCTCCATCTGCACAGGTGATTTCCTTGAATTCAGGTTTGATATGAGGTGAAGCCTGCTTAGTTTTAAAGGCAGGTTATAAAATAGAGTTAAACCGCCTTCTTGAAAGGAGAGCAGAGCCCATATCGATGGCCTGGGCTCAGCGGCAGCTCAGCCGTCAGGAGCGATGCGGCCTTGGCAAACCCGCTTCCTCCTCTATAGATGCCAGTACCGCCCTTGGAAGCCTATCGGGAGGCAGAGTGGGTTGGTTCCTATAAAGTGCTTAGAACATTGCCTGGCACGGAGTAGTTTTGCCCCAACTTAGCTGCCATCTTCTTTGTCATTGTCACCATCACCACCAGCCCTGTCCCGGACATGATTGCTAAAGCTAATTTCAGCTCTTGGTTTTGCCAGAATCCCAGCACCCTCAGACGCCCAGGCCATATTAATAAACATTTTACGGTGCGAGGCTAGCAGCCTCGCACCTCCCCAAGGGTGCTCGTTAGACCCCTGGCCTCGGGCAAGTCTCTGTCTCTGGACCTCTGTTCACCATCCACAAAATAATGTGTTTGGTTGGGGTCTTAAAGGACTTCTAGGGCTGAGATTGTGTGACCCAATCTCCTGACAAACCAGTTCACTCAGATTAAGTCTCCGCACCACGCTCCAAATAATCAGAAATATCTCAGAGTTTGGGTCAAGTGTTTGTCTTCCTTCCTCGGGACCACGCAGAGACACACGCCCCCACCGGCCCCAATGAAGTTGCATATTCACATAAACTCAGAATCTGGCCCAAACCTACATTGCCGGGAGACTTCAACAGGAATCACTAAAAGGACGTGGCTGGGTTTCATCATTTTCCTTGAAACCTGGTTCCTGACGCTCTCCCAGAGCTGGTCTCACATTTGGGCTCCAGCCTGTGCAAATCTGCAAGGCAGATCTGTGCTCCAAGAACTGAGACCAAAGTGCTTTCCTGTTTGTGCAGAAGGCGGCCCTGGTTGCACTAAAACCTCTGGTCTAATATTTAACTCACTTTTGCTTCCAGGGCGTCTCCTGTCAGGTTCCAGCCAGTTCTCCGGTAGCGGATGGCAGGATGTGTGATTCTCTGCACCCTCGAGGTTCCATGATGTTATGTAAAGTCAGCAGGAGCCCTGGGGCCCCAGGAACCCCCAGGTCCGGCATAGTAAGCCCCAGTAAATGACAGTACATGGAAGGTCACCAACAACACTCACCAAATGAATATGACATTATTAGCTAAGAGGTGCTCAAAGGGTGCTGAATTGGGCACTATTTATGAGAGCCAGGTTATGCAAGCAACCTAAATGCCCATCGACAGACGAATGGATAAAGAAGATGTGGTACATATATACAATGGAATATTACTCAGCCATAAAAAGGAATGAAATTGGGTCATTTGTAGAGACGTGGATGGATCTAGAGACTGTCATACAGAGTGAAGTAAGTCAGAAAGAGAAAAACAAATATCGTGTATTAACGCATATATGTGGAACCTAGAAAAATGGTACAGATGAACCGGTTGGCAAGGCAGAAATAGAGACACAGATGTAGAGAACAAACGTATGGACACCAGGGTGGAAAGCGGGGGGGGGGGGGGGGGGGTGGATGAATTGGGTGATAGAGATTGACATGTATACACTAATATGTATAAAATGGATAACTAACAAGAACCTGCTGTATAAAAAATAAATAAAATAGGGCTTCCCTTGTGGCGCAGTGGTCGAGAGTCTGCCTGCCGATGCAGGGGACGCAGGTTCGTGCACTGGTCCGGGAGGATCCCACATGCCGCGGAGCGGCTGGGCCCGTGAGCCATGGCCGCTGAGCCTGCGCGTCTGGAGCCTGTGCTCCGCAATGGGAGAGGCCACAACAGTGAGAGGCCCGCATACCGCAAAAAAATAATAATAATAAAAAATAAATAAATAAAATTCAGGGACTTCCCTGGTGGCAGAGTGGTTAAGAATCTGCCTGCCAATGCGGGGGCACGGGTTTGAGCCCTGGTCCGAGAAGATCCCACATGCTGCGGAGCAGCTAAGCCTGTGCGCCACAACTATTGAGCCTGCGCGCCTAGAGCCCATGCTCCGCAACAAGAGAAGCCACCGCAATGAGAAGCCCATGCACCGCATCGAAGAGTAGCCCCCTCTTGCTGCAACTAGAGAAAGCCCGCGCGCAGCAATGAAGACCCAACGCAGCCATAAATAAATAAATAGATAGATAGATAGAATCCGCCTGCCAATGCAGGGGACACAGGTTCGAGCCCTGGTCCAGGAAGATTCCACATGCCGCGGAGCAGCTAAGCCCGCGCGCCACAACTACTGAAGCCCGCGTGCCTAAAGCTCGTGCTCCGCCACAAGAGAAGCCACTGCAATGAGAAGCGCGCGCACTGCAAGGAAGAGTAGCGCCCGCTCACCGCAACTAGAGAAAGCCCGCACGCAGCAACGAGGACCCAACACAGCCAAAAATAATAATAATAATAAATTAATTAATTTAAAAAATAAAAGTGTTGAATTGGGGAATTCCCTGGTGGTCCAGTGGTTAAGACTGGGGTGTTTTCACTGCTGGGGGGCCCGGTTTTGATCCCTGGTTGGGGAACTAAGATCCCACAAGTTATGCGGTACAGCCAAAAAAAAAAAAAAAGTGCTGAATTGAATTTCAGCTACTTGAGTATGAGCACTGTAGATGACGTGTCCTTTTGTTCAGAAATGAAAATTGTGTTGGGTGGGTGGAGACATCGTGGCACCACACGGGTCTGTGGTCTCTCCCTGGCATGGTTGCAGCCAATAAAAACAGTGTTCATGACCCTATGTAACCACCCCTGTGCCACAAGTAACACAAGTTTTGCTACACAGACCTCTCACCCCTTGGGAGAAGCCAAGCACTCCTCTGGGTGGCTGCTCTGAGCTGGCTTGGCAACCGGCTGCCCCTGCTACTCATCACACCCTTCTCCACTGCCCAGGAGAGTCACGCCAACCGGGTGGCATGAGGGTCACCGGTATGGATTCGTGTATGGGTGAGGCTTTTGTTCACCAAGCACCACAAGTGCTTAGCGCGGTAGCTAGCGCATGGTCAGTGCTCGTGGAATGTTGAATGAACGGATAGATGGATGGATGGATGGACCTCGTATGAAGGACTATATACTGTAGTTACATTAGAAAGGATGAAATAGCAATGAATTTCACTTTCTACATTACACATTTCTGTAATTTTTAAAAACCACAAGTACATGTTATTTTCAATGGCCAAGAAAAATAAAAGAATCTCTATTATTTATACCACTTGCTCCCACCCATTTCTGCCGGTGATTCATGGGAATGCGACAAGAACTAGGTGAGGGCTTGTGTCTGTCTCACTCCTGTCCAGCTACCCATCCTCCCCACACCCATCCCACGCCTGCTGACAACCCCCATCCCCTGGGAGTGCTTCCTCCTGGCTCTCCAGCCCATTGGTGTAAAACTGCAGAGAGGAAACTGCTAAAATACCCACCACTGAGACTGGCTACGTGAAATTAACCTTTAGTCTCTGATGGAATCTTACACAGCCTTTATTTATTTATGTATTTATGGCCCCACATGTGGCTTGTGGATCTCAGTTCCCTGATGAGGGATTGAACCTGGGCCACGTCAGTGAAAGCGCTGAGTCCCAGGCACTGCACCGCCAGGGAACTCCCTCTGCATCCCTTTTGTAAGAATCACTTTTCGAGTAGTATTTACTGACATGGAAAGTGCTCATGAAATAATTAACTGAAAAAAAATCAGAACGCCCAGTTGGGTGTACCATGCACACCTAGTGTTATGAAAAATATTTAGACGACAAAGAGGAGATAGATGAACATGTTAACAGTGACAAGAATTGTGAGTGGTTTTCCCCTTTTTGCTCTATGTATTTTCAGTATTAACCAAATTGTTTGCAATGAATAGTTCTGAGTTTTATAATAAGAAAAATTGCTTTAGATTGACTGGGGGATGCTAAGCATATGAAAAACTGTTCAACTTCACTCAGAAATGCGAAGTAGGGAATTCCCTGGCAGTCCAGTGGTTTGGACTCCGTGCTCTCACTGCTGAGGGCCTGAGTTCGATCCCTGGTCAGGGAACTAAAATCCCATAAGGTGCACAGCACAGCCAAAAAAAAAAAAAAAAGAGAGAAATGCAAAGTAAAATTGAAATGTGATGTACATTTTCACCCATCATGTTGGCAAGGATCCACCCAAAAGTGGATACAGAGTTAGCAGGGTCGGAGACACATCTCACACACCAGTTGTGGGACTAGATTTGTGTACCATTTGACAGTATTTCTTACCATTTGATTGCAGCCTGCAGTTTTGCTCACACTGACGCACAAAGGAAAATGAAAGAAGTTTCGATGCACTCTGCTCATAACACAGAAAGACTTAGAACAGCCTAAATGCCATCGGAGGGTAAGTGGTTGGATCAGCTACAGACCATCTATTTAACAGAGAATTGGTGTAAATACTACAGTGCCGGTGAAATGAACGAGGCCCCTCTATGGGCTGATATGAAACAATTTCTGTTATGTGAAAAAAGGACAGTATAAATCAGTGGGTAAAGAGTGATCCTTTGGGGGTAAAAAGGAAAAAGCATAGCGTGTGTGTAGTGAATGCAGGAAAAGTGTCTCGGAGAAGCTGCATAAGACATTGGTAACAGCACTGGCCCCTGGTGAGCAGATCTGGGCAGGACCTGCAGGTCAGAGGTGGGAGAGAGACTGAAATTGCACTGAATATCCTTTTCTAACTTTGTCATCCTGAGCCACGAGCACATATTACTTTTCCACGAGTAACTAGAACTTAAAGTAATGAATAAATGAAAACAGTCTAAGAGGATCTGGAAGGCAGAAGACCTAGGCCCCCTGGGCATCCTCCAAGCCGCCGTGTTCAGAAGAGGGCCCGAAAGGACAGGCCACGATCAGGCTGAGGGCCAGTGGTACTTGCCTGAGACAACGTTCCACATCTGGGTCGCTCCGGCAATACTGGAGGCCTCCGTGTCTCTGAGCATCCTCAGGGTTGGCAAAAGCCTGGAATACATCAGCAGAGAATTACTGTTCATGAGATGGACGGCCCAGTCGACTAGGTCCGCGGCGATGCAGGCAGGCACATACGTGTCCATTCACCAGCATCCATGAACTCTTACTGTGTGTGAAGTGCTGGAGACTCACCGTGAACAAGGCTGCTATGGACTAAATGTTTCTGTCCCTGCAAATTTCCTATGTTGAAGCCTAACCCCCAGTGTGATGCCTTTAAGGAGGCAGTTAGGTCATAAGGGTGGGGCTCTCTTGAATGAGATTAGCACTCTTATAAGAGACCCCAGAGAGCTGCCTCACCCCTTTGCCAAGTGAGGACACAGCAAGAAGATAGCCATCTATGGACCAGAAAGTAGGCCCTCATCAGGCACCACCTCTGCCGGTTCCTTGACCTCGGACTTCCCAGCTTCCAGAACGGTGAGAAGTAAATTTTTGTGGCTGATAAGCCACCCAGTCTCTGGCATTTTGTTGTATAGCAGCCGGAAAAGACTAAGAAAAAGGCCCTCCTATCTCTGCTCTTGTGAAGCCCACAGTGTAATGAGGGAATTGCCAATGAACCAGGGAAGACCAGGTGGTGAGTGTTGAGAAACAGAAGACTGGGTTTGCTTTGAGAATGTTCACAGGAGACCCAACCAAGGCTGGGGATCAGAGAAGGCTTCTCTGAGGCAGTGACAGTAAAGCTGAGGCTTGAAGGATGCATCAACCTTAACCAGAAGAAGGGAGGGTTATAGCAATAGCATACGGAACAGCATGTGCAAAGGCCCTGGGGTCAGAAGAAGAGCATGTATGAAGAATGAAAAACCAGCATGGCTGGAGCATAGACAGCAAGGGACAGAGTTCCAAGATAAAGTTGCAGGGGTCAGCAGGGGTCCTGGGGGCAGGAGCCTAAGCATTTAAACTTGGAACTAAGAGCAATGAGAGGGTCTTGACAGGTCCCGGTGAGAAACTCAGCTCCACACCGACTAACTGCAGGTTTCTGAACTTTCCTGGGTCTCAGCTTCCTCATCTGTGAATTCCAGATCAAATGAGGTTCATCTACCACATGAAGAGCAAAGGAGAGAAGTGGAGACGCCCCAGCACAGCGCCAGGAGGGCGCTCGCTCGGTGAATTGTCAGTGCAAAAGAGGGACTTGAGGTCACACTCAGGTCATTGGAGGTCACACCCATCGCTCTTGCTGCACTGTTCCCTGCGGGCATCCAGCCAGCCAGCCCCACCAACCCCACAGCAAACCTGAATCTCTGTAGCACGTTTTCTAAATTGCATATCCTGCTGCTTCTGATTCATGAGTCCTTGAGATATCTGTTCCCAAGTGCTGGGGGTTTTTTTTTGTCCTGCCTGGTGGGTCTGCCCCTGCTCCAGCCCAGAGGTGAATGCAGCGCTTGTCACCATCAGGATTCCCCAACGCCCAGAATTCTTCTCTGCTGGCCCTTAAGTCATGGAATCACCAATTCTGATGGTCCTGCAGAGTCCGTGGGCCTGTGACACCTTTCTCAGGGTCTCGGCATTCAGTGGGCAGCTGTCTTGGGTGTCCACAGTCCATGGGTTTGCTCACCCCTGAAGACAGCATGAATACAAGTTGGCCTGGCCAGGAGCCAGCGGCAGAGCAGACAGGGATAGAGCCCCAGCGTCAGAAGCATAAGCACTGCCTCTAGCTGGGGTCAGGGTCAGGCCTCGGGATGCACTCCCACCAAGAGGTCTCTGGCCTGTCATGTCAATTCCAACTGTTAATAAGTAATGAAGACTTAACACTGGTGGGGCATTTGCTCCGTGCCAGGAGCTGTATTCTCCTGGCACTGCTGTGACCATCCTCAGTTTACAAATGAGGAAATCAAGCTCTCAGACTTGCCCATGGTCCCGAGGCTAATGGGTGGAGGAGCCAGAGCCGGCATCCGTCACCTCCCCAGGCATCCGTCACCTCCCCACGGTGTGGCTCCCCCAGCTCCTCCCTGACTGACTGAATGAGAGGGAAATTTGTAGTGTAGGGAGAACCGGAGACAGCCCAAGGGGAGGTTTCCTTCTGCCACTCCCTACTGACCCGGTAGACAGGCACCCCAACAGGTTTGCCTCTTCCTTCCCTAATTCACATTAAAAGAAAAGCTCTGGGCCCCGCACGGCCCTGGTGAGAACCCCATCCCCGCCATGGCAGGGAGTGGGCTCCGGAGCTGGGCACCTGGGCTCCAACCCCGCTGTGTGGCCTTCACAAGAGATGTCTCCTCTCTGAGTTCAAGTTCCTCAACTGGATGACAAGCTGAATACGCCCCCACCCCGACTCCCCCCGCCCCCCGGGCGGTGGTGGGGATTAAACGCTCCACGGAAGGACTCAATGGGTGAACGCGGCTGTCCCCGCTTGGTGCCTGTATCTTGCATCCCAGGATGGGCCGGGGCAGGGAGAAGTCAGCACGATCCGTGCGCCTCTGCTTTGGGAGTTCGTTCACCCGGGGAGCTGCCCTGCCTTCGGTCCTGCCCGTACCTGCTAAGCCCTGCTGCTGAGCAACTTTCCTCTCCCCAGTGTCCACCCCCGGCACGGCACGACGTGGGCGCCGGCCTTGCCTCGCCTCGGAACTGGACGAAGGGGCACGGTCGGAAACAGCTCCTCTCTGAAATACCTGGGGGGATGATCAGAGGTACCCCTGGGCTTCTCTTTGTCTAACAGGACGGCTGCTGCCACTTCCCTGGCCCTGGCTGCCCCGCGGGCTAGCGGCCGCCCTGGAACAGGTCCACCCGCCCCCTTGCTCCCCCCCCGCCCCGCCCGCCCCCACCGGCTCAGATCTTGGCGTCTTTATTGCTGTTTTGGCTCCAGGATTCGGATTGGCGGATCGGTGGGGGAAATTCCTCCCCGAGAACTTCAGCGCAGCCTGGCTGAGACCTGGCCTCTGGAGGGAGGCTGCGGTGGGTTTGGGAGCGACCTTGCCGGGCGAGTTGGGAATTTCCACTTAAAGGCTTCTCTGGCCTCCTGTTCTGCCGGTTCCCACCCCACCCAAACATCAGATCTCCGGTGCGGGAAGCCGCCAGGTCGGACGGAGGCTGAATGCTGCCTCACTCCACCCTCTGGGACCTGCTTCTCTCTGAGCCGCCGGCCTAGCTCAGTGGGACTCGTGGAGTCCTGCTGTGCCGAGAACTCACCTGGTGGCACAGCAAATGGTAAATGCTCTTAAAACAGAGGAAAAGGAGGTGCGGGCCCCGCTGAAACCAAGGGCCGCAGAGAAGCCATCCCAAAGGGCTGGGAGAGGCACCTGATCCCGAGCCCGCTCGCTCAAACTCTGGCCCCGAAAACATCTGGGCCAAGGGTCCCGTCCCCAACCTTCCCGGCGGTGGGAGAAGGGAGCGCACGCGGGGCTGGGGTCCCCGAGGGCGGCACGTACCTTCTTCCGAAGCCTCACTTGGCCCGTGATGATGGCCACCACGTACATCTTGATGACTAGCAGCGTGCTGCAGAGCAGGAAGGCCGGGAGCACCCGGCCACTCATCAGCTCCAGGCCGGGGGGAGGCATCTCGGCGGTGGCAGCAGCGGCGGCAGCTCCGGGAGAGACAACGAGCGGCTGCGAGCTCGGGCGCGTGGCTCTGTCTCCGAGAGCAGGGAGGGGCGGGGAGAGCACGCGGGAGGCTTGTCTGCACTCGGCACCCGCCCACCTCCCAGCAGCCTGCAACTTCTGCCCCCAGATGCCGGGAGAAGCAGAGAGGCAGGGGGGCTCCCGATCGGGCCCCTGGCCCCGCCCCACCCCTCCCTGGCAAATCCTTAAACACTTTCTAATCCGTTTCCTCAATCTGTCAAGTGGGGGGTGGATGGCAGTGCCTGTCTTCAGGGCGTGCAGCAAAGCCAGGAGCCTGGCAGGACTTCCACAGGTGACAGAGTCACTGATCTGTGGCCACCGCCCTGAGGGTCAGGGTGTGAGAACCAAGCTATCTGTCCCCACATTCAGCCTGGACACTTGAGCCACAGCCAGACCTACATTGACGTGACTTTGCTGAATTGTGCTCCTCCTACCCCCGCCCCCAAAGATGTCCACATCCCAGTCTCCAGAGCCTGTGAATATGTTACAGAACGTGGCAAAGGGCTTTTGCAAGTAAATGTCTTAAAATGGAGAGATTATCCTGGATTCTCTGTGAATGCAGTTGAATCAGAAGGGTCCTCCTAAGAGAGAGGCGGTAGAATTAGGGGGAGAAAAGATGTGAAGACAGCAGAGGTCAGAGAGGAGAGAAGATGCTACACTGCTAGCCTTGAAGGTGAAAGGAAGGTGCACCATAAAACACAGGTGGCCTCTAGAAGCCGGACAAGACAAGGAGACAAATTCTCCCCCGGAATCAGCCTTGTGGACACCTCGACTTTAGCCACCGAAATCGATTTTGGACTTCTGGCCTCCAGAGCTGTGAGATGGCAGATGTGTGTTGTTTTATGCCACTAAATTTGTGTTCATTTGTTACAGCAACTGTAGGAAACTAGCACAGTGGTCTACTGTCTTTTTCAAGGCAAATGGTTTCATTGTTCATCACAGGAACTTCCCAAAAGAGCCAGTTCTTCGATAGAAAGCATCAACAGCTTGTGACCCCTGTGAATCCCCTGCTTCAAAATCCTCACCCTGCTGTGTCCTCCCCTCCCCTTGGCCCCCTTCCCCAGGTTTGGGGTGGGACCTCGGTAGAGGCAGGGATCTTATCCCTTTAGTTTTGCCAACACGGCTTGCTCCTGCTTGCAGGGGCACCCTGGGGAAGTGGGGAAGAGGGAAAACTCGGCTTCCGGTGCCCACTCCAAACTTGGACCTGCCCGGAGGGACAGCAGTGTCAGTCTTGTTACCTGAAAACTGGGTTCGCCTCTTGGTGGGTGTTGAGCCGAAAGACACACGAGCCAAAGATGGGGAGAAGGAAGGATTTATTACTTGCAGCAAGTAAGGCGGACACCGGGGAGCTTTCCCAAAGCAGTGTCTGTTAACAGCAAAAGCGGGGAAGTTTTAAGGTGAGGGTATATGCGTATTCATAGAGGGGCTCGAGCAGAGGAGAATTCAGCGCAGAATTGGGGCAGAGGTCAACCGCATCCAAGCTTTAGGTGATTGAAGTCAGGAGGGTCAGAAAATGTTAGAGTCTCCGTCCCCTAGGTTTCAGTAGATCTGGTGGTCGGGCGCCTGAGGGGGTTGTTTAAATTCTGCAAAACATCTCGGGAAAGTGCTTCAGGCTTTTGAAGCATCACTGAAACAGAACCAGGAGTTGTAACAACTGATAAATTATCTTTGTTATTGTTATTCCTCCCTCCTGATAACAGTTTGTTTTTTTGTTCCCTTAAGCTCCTTATTACTGAGATCTGTTCAAGGACTAGCATTGTGGCCACAGCTTAGATCACAAAATGGCTTAGGCCAAAACGGCTTCTCTTACGTCAAAAAACTATACCTGGTTCTTTTCCTCCGGGCACCCCCTACCTTAACTGCTTACAGCCTGGCTTGTGCCCCAAAGCAGCAGAGACCAAGGAGAGACCTGGCCAGAGGGCAAAGACACTTGCTGTGAACTCTAGAGCCAGACTCAGCTGGCATCAAACCCCAGAGCCAGCCCTCGGTGGCAGCTGTGTGGCTTTGGGCAAGCAACTTCCCTCTCTGAACCCACTTCTTCAACTGTCAAATGCAGCCGACAGTCAGTCACTGCCCACAGCAGCTGTGGGAACTAGGAAGAATCATGTCTAATTATCAGGCACCTGGCACATAGTCGGCCCTTCATCTGCAGAAGCCTCTGAGCCTCAGTTTCCCCTTCCTCAAAACGGGAATAATGATGCCTACCTAGCAGGGTTGCCAGGAGGGAGACTCTTGGAGACCCCCCGCCGCTGAGGCTGGGGGCAGTAGGTTGGGGGTGGGGGACGTGAGGTGAAGGATGGCTTCTTGTCCATTTATATGTGCCAAGCCTTCCTTTATCTGGACAAAAGATGAGCTTGTAAACCGATACCCATGTCTCTGCAGCATGGGGCTGCCGGGCTGTGTTGTCCCAGCCCCATGAGATAAATGGTAGGTCACGATCACGGACGAACATAGAAGGCATTGGATGTCCTGAAACGTGTTTTATCTCTGACACTAGATTGGGAGGGACTGTGCTGGCTCGCTCCTTGCCGATGTTTTTGTCTGAGAACAGAGGACTCCCGCTTCTCTTGCCCCCAACTCAGGGGAACCACTGCAGGGGGCTGTCTTCCTTGTCAAAAAGTTCAGTTGCGGGGCTGGGATCTCTGCACCACCCCCAGAATCGTGGACCAGAGACAAACGAGAGGGGACGCTTGTGTTCATCCCTCCTTGGACCAGGGGGCGTGCTCTGCTCTGTTTGATCTTCTAAAACAGCAAGATAGAAACCTCCCCAGCAGAGGCTGGGAAAACCAGTACGGGCAAGGATCACATGATTACCTACTGTTACCCACAGCGGAGAATAAGAGGGACTTCGTAGGGAGGCCCTTCTGACCCGTGTGTGTGACTTTGTGATAGGAATCTTTTCTTCATCGTCTGCTGAAATGAACCAGCTAAGCCAGGGCCCGGTAAGGATAACAAACCCTTCTCTGATCTTCCGCCAAGAATTTCCCTACAGCCTTCCTCAGTCAGTGGAGCTTCCCTTGTTGTTTTTGGTGGAGATGGTGACGGTGGTGTTACTTTTCTCTGAGCTCCAGTAACGTTCTTTGCATGTAAAATGGGATCGGTGCCCCCACCCCTGCCCTGCCTTGCAGGGCAGGGGCGGGGACAGTGTCGGGGATGGGAGTGCTCACTGTGGGCCTGGCCCCAAGTCCCCCAGAAAATACACTGGTGCCTGCACAGAAATGACGGCAAGAGAGGGAATTCCCTGGTGGTCCAGTGGTTAGGACTCCGAGCTTTCACTACTTAGGGCTCTGGTTCAATCCCTGGTTAGGGAACTAAGATCCAGCAAGCCAAGAGGTGTGGCCAAATTTTAAAAAAAAATTAAAAAAAAGAAAGAGGACAAGAGAAGGCCCTGAGACCACCCCGGGAGGAGGCCTCCTGGACGTTGGAAATGTTTTATGTCTTGACCCGGGTGACAGTTACACAGGTGGATATGCACATAAAAATTCACCGAGCCGTATAATCAGAATGCGTTACTATACTGTAGTAAAAAAAAACCCCACAAATTTCTCCCGTCCCAATTCTACCACCCTGAGCAGAGAGCAGCTGCCATGCCTGAGCCTTCTTCCAGCTCACCCTCCTCGGCATTTCCTGAGGATCAGAGACCCGGCTCTGCACGCTGTTTAATTGTCTGTGACTTCAGAGGAGGCTTAGAGAGAGGAGGAAGTTGCTCCACCTCGCCACCGGTTCCTGACCTCAGTGAATACTGCTGGGGCTCTCTCCAGCCAGGGATGAGGAAACGCGGTGATAAAAATCACTGTCACTGAAGTGACCTTTTAGGTCAGATTTGTGTTGTAGGCATCACCGTGGCATCAAGCCTCCTCAGAGAAGCAATGTTTGAGAAATGTGGTATGTGGTCTATGGGAGAGGCAAATGGAGATGAGTGAGTGCTTTCTGATGGCTCTGCAGACCCTCCTGGGTCAGAGGTCCACCAGGTGGGGACCCTGGGCTCCCCTTGGGATGAGCAATTCAAGGAAGGACTGTTGTTTTTGTCTGCCACCTCAGCTCTCCTTTCTACCTTCCTGTGGGAAATCACAACCTTCCTTTCCTTTCCTTGCACCCCGATTGCCTGTAACCCTGGTGGGGCAGCCAGACTACTGCATCTTCTTAGTGTGGGGCAGCCATGTGACACAGACCAGCCAATCACAATGTTCCTGACATCTGGGCACTGCGATTGGTCCAAGCAGAGCCAAGCAGAGAACTTCCCTGGGAGTTTACGTTCTGACACTGATGGAGAAATCCCTCTAGGCTCCAGGACGGGACCCTGGCCTGCTGTTTGCCTGAAGCAGTGTGCAGCCTTTCCCTCTCCCCGCATAGAGGAGGCTGTATTCTCAAGGAAACAAAGAGGCCCCAATCTCTGACTCACCCAGGCCCAGGAGTCTAGGCATTTCCTTTTAAGCTTCAACAAAACTAAATCACATTCCTCCTCTGCTCCAAACTCCGCGGCGGCTCCCATCTCACTCAGAGCAAAAGCCAGAGTTTGGCCCACGGCCCACGGCCCTATCCCATCTGGTCCCCATCTGGTTCTCTCGGAACCCCTCTTCTCCTTCCTCCCCTCATTCATTCAGCCCAGCCACACCGCCCTCCTTGCTGGTCCTCAAACATGCCAGACACTGTCCTTTCTCTGATCCCTCTGCCTGGAATTCTCTTCCCCCAGCCATCCACTGGGTTGACAACTCATCTTCGAGTCTTTACTCAAATCTCAGCTTCCTGATGCGGCCCAACCCTGATCACCTTAAATCAGTTCTGCAACCTGTCCCCACCCCCAGCACTCCGGTGCCGCTTCCCTGCCTTCACTTCCTCTCTTCTTTCCATAGCACATGTCACTCACTGACACATCGTATAATTTATTTCGCATCCTTACCAATGCCTGGCTTTCCGGGGCCGGGGTCTCTTTTGTTTACTGATGGACCACAAGCATTGGTCCCATGCCTGACATACAGACGCAACTGTAATTTGTTGAATTGAACTGAATTAAGCTCATTTGACTTGG